TGCCAGTACAGTCTACGCCAAATTATCCCAGGACTTTGACCTGCTGTGTTACAGATGTGAGTGAAGATAGAGAGATACCTCTGGACCTGCCTCTGGGCTGCAGTTTGAAAACCCATAGCACTGCAGTCCTTTTTCCTTCACAACGGCCCTGGCACCTATGCACGCCCATCTCCGACTTCAAGGGATGCTGCCTTTGCTCTCCGTACCAGGGATTTCTGCTCTCTTTGTGCAGAGTGGGACAGGGGGGAGAGGAGGCAGTGGGGGTGGAAAAACCACTGGCAGCCAATCCAGAAGTTTAGCAGCTGCCACTGGCATTTCAGTGTGACGGCTTTTAGGCCAGATGCCAAACATGTCTTGGGTTTTAATCTCTGTCAGGTCACCTATCGCTTGTCAATCAAGTGCTGCTCCCACAGGGACTGTTGGCACAGATGCCATCAGACAGGTTGCAGCAGACACTGCTACCCGCCATCCAGAAGATTAGCATCAGACAGTCCCCCCAGGCTTGCTCCTCTTTAGCCCCCAGCTCTACATCCTCCCACCTCAAGCAGCCACAAGCACTTGCTGGTGCAGCATGGCATGGCCCTGGCCAGCGGCTGGGTGTTGGGTGCACCGTTGGGTGCACCTGCTCTGCGCTCAGGATTTAACACTTCCCGGAAAGGGCTTTCTCTTGCACTCTCAGCCCGTAGCAAAGGCCTGCTTGCCGCATGATTGAGAGCTCCAGCAAGCCCCATGGGCTGTTTGCAGTGACCTTGCTGGGACAAGATCACTGGTGGTGTGTAAATAACTCCCTGCTGCAAGCCAAGCAAGCGGCAGGGGGGCCGTCAGCCCCTGCCAGCCTCTCCTCCCCTCCCTGCAGCCCGTCACACATCCAAGGCCAGGGCTGCAAAGCTGCCTGCCCATGGGCTGGCACGGCCCGGGGCAGGGAATGGCACAGAGCTTCCCATTCTCACAGACCCTCCCCGAGACACCTGCACATCATGCCTTGTCTCCTGGAAATCTGACGGGTGCAGAAGTGGGGCTACACCAAGCAAGCAACCAGGGGAGCCTGCAGTATTCTGGAGGAAAAGAGCCTCTCCTGGCCTCAGGAAACAGCCCTGCAGCAGAGAGGCTGACAGTGGTCACTGCCTCAGCACAGGCTCTGCTCTTCCTGCTCTCCCAGCTCTAGTGCTGTGATTCTCCTTCGGTTTTGATGTTTGCCTGGTGCTTGACGGCCTGCGGGGAGAAGCGATGTTTTAACAACATCTTTCTCCTTGTGCCTCCTCTGGCTGAAGCCAGTACACAAGTGCATGAATGTCCCCCCACATACACACACCAATGTGTATGTACACACATGCACAAGGGCCAGGGTATGTATACGCACTGCTGCACACAAGCCCATACAGCGAAGCACATCTTCATTAACACATGCGTATTCACCCATGCCAATGCACCGATGCTCTTGCGTCCTGCATGCACACGTGACTCTGCAGCAGGGCATCCCTGTGCAGGCTTGCAGGTTTGGGAGGCTCATTTGCGTGCCAGGATGCAGATTGGGGTCACACATATGTATGTACGTAACCCGTGTGTGGACCACATCCACGTGCAGGCATGCAGGAACATGCACGCAAGCCAAGGCAGTCTATAAGAACAGCTTTTTATTATGTCACCCAACCGCCTGTAATAAATAGTTACATGTCACACTACATGGCTTGGCTGCGACTGACAAAGGTCCTGCAAGGCAGGAGAAGCTATTACAGGAACAGATTGCAGGAATAAAATATTAAATTTCCACTTATCAATCTCTTTAATGCGCTATAACTCTAATAGAAGCGTTCAGCCTTCGCCCCCTGAACAAATTGCCCTTCCCATGAGGGAGCTGAACCAGCCCTGCGCTCCTCCTCTCTGGGGCTGGGGCTGGAAGGATGCTGGGTGGCATGAGGGGAGAGGTCTGTACCCGGAGAGACCAGAGGGGGAAAGCTGCTGCAGGATTTTGTCTGCATCAGCCTTCTGTTTTTTTTCTCCCAAGGCTGGCTGCTCACTAGATTGAACTCCATTTATTGCATGCAGCTCTTGAAAGAGGTTTCGTGGTCCACTGACAATCCCTAAATTGCCTGCAAGACCCAAACAAATGTACCTGTAATAGTTGAGTGAGGACGGCTGAGCCCTCCCCAGCACTGGCCTAATCGGTCCTTAGGGAGAGCTGGATAAACATATTCAGATGCCATGAATTATTAAAAGCGGTTTTTTAACGTGGTGGAGCCCTGGCCTAACGGGTTGGCTGCTAATCTCTCCTAGCGGTGCAGCTGCTGGTGTGCCCCTCCTTCCCCTCGTTTACCCCGACCCCACAATTCTGACCTTTGTGAATAAATGGAGATTACTGGCAGGCAGACATCAACCCAAAGTCATTCCCCAGAAATCCTGCCAGTCCCCGCTTCGCTTGCAACACTGTGCTGATCGCGTGTGAGAACAATGCTCTACCAGACCCCTGAAAAACTGCCAGAAGGGGAGACATTTACTGAAGCCCGGAGGGGGAACCCACACACCCTTGTCCCTAGAGGAGCCCGTGCCTGTGTAGCCGAGTTGGTGCTGCCCGCCTGGGCTGTGCTGCTATTGCGGCGCTGAGACAGATAAAATGCTGGCAGGTGGCAGCAGGAAATATGAAGAGAGGATATCTGGTGTTTGGGAACATGTGTCCTGACAGCACAAGATAGACAGAATGACAGCCAGAAATGGACGTACAGGCTATGCCGAAATGGAAAATGAAACATGGTGAAGAGAGCCTGTTCCTCTCTAAGCCTTCTGCAATACCTATCCCACCTATTTCCCTGCGACTGGGGACTGAGCTTGGAGGCTTTTTCCCTCCTATCACTGTCCCAAATGTGACCCAAGGTGCTAGTTACCGCATAGGGTGGTTTTCTGTTGCCGATGGGAAGCGAGTTTGCTTAGTTTGTACCAGGCAGTTGTCTGCACTGCCCCAGAAACACGGTGCCTTTAGTGGCAAATCCCATGAAATGGCCAGTGGCTGAATGGATTTTGGCCATGACCTTCCCCTGGCTTTGGGCGGCTGGGAAGACTGTCCTGAACAAAGAGCTTTGTTATTCTGGTGCCTTTCACTGGCAAATGAAAAATCCCCCAGAGAAAAGCATACACCAGGAACAACTCAGCAGGCAGGGATCCAGGACAGGAGGTGTGAATTAAAGGCCTGCTACAGTGATAATGATCATAAATAAATACTTGGTAATTAGCATCTAATTAGCACATCCCATCCATTGACCTCCAAGCACTTGGATAGAGGAAGATTAGCCTGGTTTACCTATGTTACAAGAGAGGGAAACTGAGGTGGTGAGGGTGCCAAACACAGCGTTATTGCTCATTTCAGGAGGTCAGCTGCCCAGGCCTCATCGTTAGGCTTGCTCAGCACTTACCACTGTAGAGAGCAGGTGGAGGGGGCTGGAGCTCGGTCCCTCTGAGAAGCCTGTTTCATCAGGCTCAGGTTAGACAGCTCTTCCAGGACTGGGGGGGCTCAGAGAGGTGGCCCACTATCAGAACAGCACGTACTCTGATTTGCCTCAGGCTGGACAGCAGGAAGGGCTAACAACCTCAGGAATCCGTCCTGTGTTTCCCATGCCTTGGGGAGCCCCCAGCGTGCCTCGTTGCCCATCCAGCTCGGAGGCACCCTGGCTGTCTGTGGCATCTACAGGACGCAGGCAGCCATCTGCTCTCCAGCTCACCCGGCTGCAGTCATAGCCCCGCTGCTGTCCCCAGAGCGAGCAGGTCTGGAGCTACAACACCCCAAGGTCCCTGCTGTGACCCCAGCTGGAAAAGTGGCCACATGCCACGGTTTGTGCTGCCTGCTCGCCTAGCAACGGTCCCAAGCTGGGGTGTAGGGGGAGCACCCGAAGGAGACCAGCACTGAGCCCCCCTCAGTGCTGCTGGCCAGCTGGGGGGACAGAGGGGAGCCTCGGCAAGGGCTGCAGCGCTGCTTCATCAGATGGTCACTCCCTCCTCTGTCCCCTGAGAGCTCGGAGCTCATTGCAGTGTGGCAGTGCTCCAGCTCACGACTGGAAGAGGTACTTCCATCTCTCTCATGAGACCCACAGCTGCTAGTCACTGTCTGTCATTAACACACTGAGAAAACAAATCTCTCCTTTTACCCCAAAGGAATGGGGACTTCCCTTCCCTGCTCTCAAAGCACTGACAGCCACTTTTCCCCTTTGGTGATGCCCTGCAATAGCACTTCATCTCTCTGAAATCAGGCTATTGCCATATGTTATTTCTTCTCTTTAGCCTATTCATTGACATCTCTTTCTCTCCCTGACACTCCCTAAGCATATTCACATATTATTTCCTCACTGCTGTGGCTACACTGATTTGCAAGTCATCAAATTCCTTCTGTCCCATATGACATCACATAGCATCACTTCCCATTGTCTGCAGCCTGTGATATTATTCCTTTCTGGAGACCAGACAAAGCTACTCAAGTACTCACAGCCTCTCGGTAATCTGTGGCAGCCAGGTGAGCAAATGCACAGACCAACATGGAAGGAGCACAAATGAAAAACCATGAGAATTGCCTAACATCAGAAACACCAAACATCATCCTGAAGAAATGACTCATCCATCTAATGCTTTACTGCCTCAGTGGCAGTCTATGTCCTCATCCTACTCCTTCTACCTTCTAACAAATACCTCCTTGACATGTCTTCACTTTTAACATGTCCAATGATCTCTTTGAATCCAAAGCAGAAGACAAGGGCAAAATAAATTGAATTCATCTTGGTGCAAGAAAGGAAAAGACAACAAGAGGAAAGGAGAAAAAATCCAAGCCAAACCATTGCAAAGCAAAGAACTTCACTGCTCCCTTTGCATCGTGAAACTCCCCACCCCTAGTAGGAGGCTCTGGTAGTTAAGACAGATGTTAAGGAGATATAACTGACTGGTAGTTGTCAGCCGCTCACACTCTCCTCTCCCCACCTCCTCCTCCTCTTCTGTCTTTCAAAGCACACCAAGTGTTTTCCTACCTGTGACATTGACTTCCACCAAGCCCGACCGTGTACCAATGGCATTGGAGGCCTCACAGATGTAGGTGCCAGCCACACTGTAGGAGATGGGCCCTTTAAAGTAGATGGTGTTGTTCTGGATTTCCACGCTCCCTGGCAGAGTCCCGTTTGGCCTAGGGGAAACAAAGATCATGGTTGACCCCAGAGATTGTATTCAGCAGGGTCAAGCAGTATTGCAGAGGTGACAGTGACATGCTGGTTCTACCCTTGCCCTTGAGCAGGTCCAGAACCTGGTGGTGCTGGCTGGAAAATTAACATAGTCAGCCTTGAAACCAAACCCCTGGACAGCAGCACTACAGGAAAGAGTCAGTAGGGTGTCTCCAGTCCACTGCATGATGAGAATCAGGTTCTTTACATGGATTGGTGGTGTTTTTTCCCTTCTCTGTGATTACAAGGGAGACTGGACATATTTGAGTCACATACAGCCCCTTGGATTTGGCTTTCAGTCTATGTTCTCCCCTATCCAGAAAATAGACTCAGAGCCTTGAAGCAATTAATTTTCCAGCACAATCCGTGACTATGTACAAGCTTAGGGTAAGATGGGCCTCTTGTTTCAGGTGGCTCACCTCTAGCAGGTCACTTTCTTGTTTCAGGTGGGTCACCTCTAGCAGGCTCATCTTCACTGTTCCTACATCCCTGACTTACCATTTGATGGAAAATACAGGAATGGGACACCAACCTGACCCTGCTTTACTCCAATTTCCTGCCCATGTAACTCTCCTGGGCAGCTGATCAGCCAGAGTTAATTGCAACTCAGCTCGAGTAAAGCAGTGTTGGTTTAGAGCTCTGCCATCTATGACCTGCCCATGTCAGAATAGTCAGATAAGTGTGAAACTGGAATAATAAAAAACTAAGTTTAGAGATACACAGAATAAATGAACAAAGGCACGATAAAAAATTAAAAAACTGCTGTGTGTTAGGAAGAGACACACATGGCCTCGTTATTCTTAATTACTGAAACAAAGTAAAGTAATTACTTCTCTTAGGCAATTAAAAATTACTCAAGTAATTCTTTCCCCTCCTCCCAACAAAAATGTGCACATATTGTCAGCAATTTGTAAGAAACAAAAGGGAATAACGGGGGTATAATTAGGTTTGTAAAGAAGTGCCTAAATGCACATGCACATATTTTGCGTGTCTACATATACATATAGGCACATATGTATAGAAACCACATTAGTCTTTCCCAGCTACATCAAGCTAATGATGCCAAAACTGATGGAAGAACAGAATAGCCTAACTGTTGGTCCTCTGCCTATGGGTAAATTAGGGCCCTGAATCTACAAAGACGAGGGCACATCTAAAAACTGTGCTGTGGGTTGCTAAAGAAGGCTATTGCTTCCTCTAACAGCTCCCCTGACTGTTGCTCATCACCATCCAAATAAGAGGAGAGGAAAGCATGGCTGATTTTTACATTTCAGGCGGGAGCAAAACATCAGCAGCAGTAATTACCTCCTGATCCCCAGGGAAGGGGAAGAGGCACACATGAGCACATGGATAAACCAAAGATGGTGGTGGCTATTTCTCTGGCTAGCCAAACAAATGAGGAATCAGTCTGGTATTACCAAAGTGGCACTGTGGGAAGGAATGGGATGGCCATGGATCTTATTCCATTCCTTACCTCCCTACGCACATACACGCTGCATGCCTAGGTGGTTGGTTGCAGTACAGTTACTTATTGGGCTTTCATCCCATCTGCTTGGTTTGCCTCTTCCTTGCAGGGCCCCACTCACAGGCAGCCTGGTGCCAAGAGTGGGAGAGCAGGAGTCTGGACTGAAAGAGCCAGGAGGCAACTCTCTGCCCCACCTTTTTCTTCCTCCTTCCTTTCCGCCTCTATTTCCCCCAGTCCCACTTGTTCTCTCTCACTCTCTACTTTGCTCTTCTTGTGCCTCCATTCTCCTTACCTTCAGCTGCACTCCATCTTTCCTTTCCATCCTCTCTCAGGTCAATAATCCTACATTCAGTCCTAAGTGACCCATCAGGTGTGCAAAAAGGGAGAGGCTGGGGAATCAGACTGAAGTGCTATCAGGCTTAGAAACCCACACTCGTTAATTCTGTGCTTTCTCTCTCTCCATTTTTCTCCCCACAGTTCCTTCTCAAAGCAAAGTATTGACGCTCCCAGCCTCTTAGCTGTAAGTCAAGAAACCTTTACATGCTAAAGACAGACAAATGGACATACACACAGCTCACAGAGAATCCACAGAAAACTTCTTCTTCCAGTATTAAAAAAAAAAAAAATCAGTCACACAAGCACATAGGGACCAACTCAATGCCTGGCTCAAAGATGTGCTGTTCTCAAGAACCATTTCTGCCAGAGCTGAATTGATTACCGGCGCAGTGTATAAACCAGGTGTGCAAATGACACGTCATACTCCCTCAGTCACGCAGCGCCGTGCTCAGCCCTGACGCCTGCATCCCCTGTTGTGTTTGAGCCTAGTTGGTAACTAACCCTCTTTCTTGCCCTGGGCTACAGAAACATCACCTGGCTGAGGCGTTTGACACCTGGTTACCCTGTGCTTCAGCTCTCAGCCTGCCTTCAGCATCACTATCACAGCAGGAGCAGACTGCCCCAACAGAGATCAGGGGCTGCTCGTGCTGCTGGCTGTGTCTGTACACAGCGACAGAGCTCCTGCCACGGAGAGCCTGATGCCCAGGAGCCCAGCAGGCGCTCCGCCTCCAGCCCCGCATGTGAGCAGTAGCAGAACAAAAGGATGAAATAGCTTGCCCAAAAGCAGAGAGAAAACCTGCCTTCTGTCCCCAGCTCCATCTCACAAGACTCACTTCAGCTCAACTCACCAGCCCTGCTACACAGCGATAGCCTAAACTGGCATCTCTTCTGCCTTGGGTGCCACAAGGGGCATCTTTGCCTCTAATACTTTCCTGGCAATGTTGTGAGGAACCCAGAGTGCCCCTTTGGAGTTTAAGTCGAACTGGCAGAACCAACAGAGGGAGAGCGCTGGGGACGAGAACTAGAAAAAAGGCAAGAAAAACAATCCTCTTCAGACTTCCACTGTGAACAGTTTGATCTGTGAAGCAAAATGAGATGAGAATATGTCTAACTCCTTGCAAAGCCATTTTGAGAGCCTCTTTCCTGATGACAAATGCCAGCTGAAAAGAAGAAAGGATCCATTTGATCTTTCTTTTTTAAAGCTACATGAGTGCTTATAGAAAAGAGAGGGAGAGAGAACCACCTCAGGTTGCATCAATTCCCATCTGACTCCCCAGACACCCCTTGCTCACTTTTCAGTCCCTTTAGTGTGTTCAGCCAAAAGCTCAAACCCTGGAGGACAAGGAATTGTTTCTGTTTAATGTCAGTCATGTGGGGGTGAGTGCTCCGAAGGGGAGCTCCTGCTTACAGCTGGAGCTGATTCCAGGGAAAGGTTTTCTCACATGCAGACAAATTTTGGGCTATTTGTGCCCCTTTAAGGAAGGGAAATGCTCGGTTCTTTTCTAGCTCTGCTGCTGAAGCACTTAGGGGTGCTGGGCAAACAATTCACTTTGTCATACCTCAGTTGCCTCACATGTCACCAGTGGAGTGGGAATAGGAAGCTATCTGGGGTATTGAGGATGCACTACACTGCTAGCAAGCTCCACTCCAGCCCAGTGGAGAGGGGGTGTGTATGATCCTGACCCATTGCCCTTCCCTCCTGAGTCTGAGCTGGAAGATGCTGGGTGAAAACCCAGCTGAAAGACAAGGGATAACCTCTGTCCATCACAAGATGAGGTGGCTGTGTCTGGCTCAACTAAAATGCCATAGGCCACGTGAAACTTCTTGATAAAGCCCCTCCACCCAAAACAAGTCCCTTGCCCTAGTCACTTCAAACACTGCACCACCTGCCTCAAAAACACAGGCTGCCTCTAGGCAGGGCTGGCAGAGCAGCAAGCCTTGTTTTGGATCTGACAACCTCAGCTTCAGAGGATGGCCAGCACAAGAGGGGGTGAGCCAGAAAGGCCAGCAGCTTCCCTGGTTTGCAAATAAAGAAATTAGTTCCAGTCCCCATGCAATGAAGGCTTCCTGGCAGAGCTGGGCCAGGGAACCGGAATCATCTCTGAACATTCTGCAGGAGCACGGCTCCAGTAACCGCAAGTGTCCAACTTTCCCCTCACATGCATGGGTTTTACCTTGGAGTGACACCACTGACAGTAATGGGACTGGGCCCCAATTGACCAGAGGGTGACTGAGGTTTCTACAGAGGCTCCTTGGCCCTGTTGGAAGATCATATGTGCATCTGAGAGCAGAAGCATTGTAGGCACTTACAGCTTCCATTCATAGGTGTGAGCTGGGGGGTTGGCATCAGATTTGCACATCAGCTTTACATCCTTCCGGTTGAGAAACCAGTTGCCATCAAAGCCCTCAATAGTGACTTCTGGCTCATCTGCAGGAGGATGAAAAAGATAGAAAAGCAGGATGGAAAAGGGGGAGAAAATGAAACAGGAAGAGATGAGGGGGCAGGGGTGGGAGAAGGAGAGAGATGCAAAAGTTGGAAAAGATTATGGGACAAGGAATGTGAGAGAGGGTGAATGAAGGAGAGAGAGAAGGGGAGAACAAAAGGACATGGCAGAGGCAGAGAGAAGGAAGGTGTGACAAAGAGAAAGCATATGATTATTCCAAGGGATCACTGCAGTTTTCACTCTCCAGAAAAAGAGAGCAGGTCCCAACTTCAACCCCTCCACCAGACCAACATCTTCCCTTCAGAAAAATCCTCTTTTGTCAGACTTCATCACCTAGCCCAGGGGATGACCACAGAGCATTGCTCTCCAGCCCTGCCCATGCTCACTTACACTGCACGTTGAGGATCATGCTGTCGGTGAAGCGGTCCAGCTGGTAATTGACCACGCACATCAGCTGCTGCCGCCCAGCCGGTACCGGCTGATCACTGTGATGGTGCCGTTGCTATTTCGGATCTCCTGAAACTCTGCTTCCCCTTTAAGCTTGGTGTCCCATGTGACAGTGCTGGGAGGCTTCCCATTAGAAGAGGTGCAAGTAGCTACCAATACCTTTTCTGTCCTGCCAGACTTAGCGATAAGTGGCCGCCTGGTGCCCTCCATCCGATTTGTGGGCTTGGCTGCAAGGGATTGCAAAAAGGTGGAGAAGGAGAAGAAAAGTGTACAAAAGGATAGTTAGAAAAGCAATGATACCCTCTCTGATACAACCCAAGAGACATCTGGCACCACTGGGCCTGTGACAGACCTTGTGGTGAATTCAGAGCTGCTGCAAATTGCCAGCAACCTACTCTGGGGAAAGAATGGTGCAGGTGCCCTAGATGCACAGATACACAATGGAAAGTCAAGCCTTTCCTGCCAGAGGTTTTCAGCCCTATGTTAGAATGAGAAACCAAAACTGGAGAGCAAATGAATCATGCAGACCTTGGATGAGGTCTATTCACTCAGCCCTAAGCTTCATGGGCAGGCTCTACTTGTGTTTAGGATCTCTCTGTTGTCTTTTCTCTCTGTTCACTTGACAGCCAGCAGATCATTAAAACTCACCAGTCCCTTAGGGAACAGGTCACTCTTAATGCTAAGAGATAGGGGAACTGAGGCCTGGAAAGAGGAAGAGGTGTTCCTGAGATAGCTCAGTGAACCACCTACCCTGGGTTCCCCGCTCTTCACCTCTTTACAGTCAACTTGAAAGATCATCAGAGGTAAAATTTACACCCAAGATTCACCTTTGCCCTGAGTTCCCAGGACATGAGTCTCAGGTTCCTCCAGATCTGTTTAACAGGGGCCAATGTTTCACACTACAAAGCTTATCTAGTATCTTACCCAGCACAGTAAGGTTCAGTTGACTCTCCCGGTTGCCAGTTGGGAAGGTAGCAAACTCACAGATGTAAACTCCCTCATCTTCCAGCTCTAGCCGAGAGAGCTGAATGGTGCCATCTTTGAAGGAAGGGTTCCGGAAAGTCACCCGGTCTTTGTAGGGAGGGAGGATGGACACCCCCATGGCAGGGTTGTAGATGGCCACATTCTGCTTGGAACCGTTCGTGGCTTTCTGCCATGTGACCTGCGTGATCTTCACATTGGGGAGCGGATTCGTGAAGCTGCAGTGCAGGACCACGTCTGTCCCGATAAACCCCGAGACTGTGTCATTGACTAAGACAGTCTGAGCTTGCAGCCCTGCAATAAAATGGAAAGACATGAATATGCATGTACCTCTCAGACAAAGAGAGAAAAAGAACAGTTCTTGGACATCAGGCCCATGAACTCCTTTATTTATTCCATTTCCTTCTTCTTGGCATGGCTGATACAAGAACAGTCTATGGCTACAGGCACTCAGTACCTTCTGCAACTACCTGCATCCAACTGCAGCTCCTGCAGCTTCATTCCTGTTCATAAACAATTTCCCTCCAACAACTGGTGTTCACACTTAATACAACCAGCCCTAATTCTCTGCAGCCAACCTAAGGTTCATGATAACCAAAAGGCACAAGGCTGGATCAATAATACTTTCCTTTTTGTCTTCAGCTTTGGATGACACTAAATCAGTTATTGTAAATATACAGAGCATACATATTTGGAGGCATATAAAGGCACAGGTATTTATCAGGATAACATATCCTAAGATACAGTAACACACACTCAGACATCCATTTAATCCTGTTTGAAATACAGCAGTAATTAAATGAGCTGCAAAGACTCAGCCCCAATTCCAGAGTAGCAATAGCTCCCATTTAAGAACAGATTTACAGCAGTGCCTATACACTTTACACGACACCTTGCATGATCTACCTGCATGATCTAGATTGTTTCTGTGGCCTTTTTTTAACCCCAAAAGTGGCTGCATTTGGGAACCTTCCATCTTGATGCTATGAGTAAAGATGAAAAGTGCTTGGGAAAAGTGGTGGCTGGTGTTCATTGCTGCTATTCTGTCTCAGTCGATTCCTCCCCTGACAACTGGAGGAAAATGTCTCCCACCAGACTGACCCTGAAATTCATCTTTGGCTGCAACTGTGTCTTTCCC